AGTCAGCCTTCACTGATTTCTGATACCTCTTAGTATTCTTGTCCATCCTGGATTACTTGTTCTCAAGGCTTAATATTAGCACAGGTGTAATCCTGGGACAGGAAGTCCTTGTTTTCCTGTTCTCTTGTCTTCTGTCACTTTACTCACTTCGTTTGCTGTTATATATCCTCAAGTAACTTCCTAGGAAAGAATGCATTATAGCTACACTTTTGGAGAACTAATATGTCAGGAAGTATTCTTTTCATATCTTCAGCTGATTTTTTTCCCTAAATATAAAGTACCTGATTATTGTCTTCCAGCAGTCTTCCATGACTGGTGATAAGAAGCCCAGCTGCAATGTTGTTTCTGTACATTTGCTTGTGAAAAGCTCATATTCTTTGAAAGGTTTTCATTTCAATTTATTCTTAATCTTATAACATTTCCTAGTGATAATTTAGATGCAGATCTTGTTTTTATTTATTAAGGTATATCCTTATACTCATAATATTTAAGAAAATTTTCCTGTATAATTTCTTTGACAAATTTCTCCACTCCTTTTTTTACTCCTTTCATTCTGTAAACCTGTTCTTGAGGTGTTGGACTTTGGGAACTGATTCTATTTTCTTCCATATTTTTAGTTTATTTTGAGGGATAAATTTTTATTCAAATCTATTCATTTTTCAATGTAATCATATTCTTGTTTCCAGTAGTTCTTGTGGGTGTGTTTTCCTTTTCCAATATGCAGTATACAGTACAGAAATCTTTCTGAAAATACTGGGGTATCTTCCGCTTTCTGAACTCTCTGAATTATCTTTTACTGGGGCCCTGATTTCATTGCACATTCACCATGATTATTCCTGTTACACAGTTTTTTAAAATATCTTATTATTCTTGATTGTCCATTAATTTTTAAAGACTTGAACAATACATCTTCAAAACCCTCTGTATTTAAGTAAGGCATGACAGTTCTGTGCATGGCAAGCAGGCAGAGTGAGTGAGTACCCATGTCATTATGCAGGAGGCTTTGTTCTGTGCATCCAATACCTGTGTTAGCTGGCCTAAGCCTTCATGTAATCAGCACAACTGTGTAGACATCATTTAAAATCTGTCTCCTGGAGTCCTGTAGCTATGAACAAAAAGGGAATCATTTGCTCTGTAGGCACGATTTCTTCAGCAGCCTTGTTGTCAAGGCCCTGTCTCATTCCCAACACGTGTATCCCTGTGGGTCCAAGTCCCTTACTTCTCTTTTTCAAGGTAGTGTGTTTCCCTCCCCTGTTGACTTCCCCTTCACAGACAGTGCTGCACCTCACTGTCCTCAGACTTTGATGATCACTCTCCATCTCCCCTGCCTTCTAGAAATTTGTTAAAGCTGCCACACTGATGGATCTTAGGCCATTCTCTTCATTTTGGGTTTATGTGTTTGTTGTTTTTTCTATGTTTTACTCCTTTACTGTTATTTCAGTGAGATCATGGAAAAGGAAAAATCATGTTTTAGTCCTTCATCTCAAGCCAGTATTACTTTCTCAGGATTAAAGAAAAAATCACCTATTTCATTTTGTGCTGTGTATTGGAAGAGGGTGGTGTTTTCTGTTCATTACAACCTACACACATTTGGTATTTTCATACTGTTATCACCTGTTTGATTAGTAATATTTACTTAGTTGTCTTTAAAGATTGTATTACTTTATTTATTGCATATTTAGGTATTATACTCCATGAGGTCCATTCAAAATATGCTAATATTTTACTACTTCAGCTTGACACTTCTATAACCATAGGCTGTTCATTTATTTACCACAAGTTGAGCTGACTTACTTCAAATATGTTTAACCCAAAGTTTTGCTATTTAATGTAGATAATGCCATAAAGTCTTCTGAAAAATTGGCCTCTTTTATCAGGTCTGAATAAATTATAATGTAACTCATTATATCGTGTAAAGATGCCATCACATTCAATTTCTTTAAACAGGGGAAAATTATTCAATTCAGGTTTCTTGAAATGCTAGGGATTACTAAATTAGTAGTTACCATGCATTGACTTCCTACCTGCACTACTTATTATTCTGCCAGTTGTAAATTATTCCCATAAGGAGCACATATAGAGAAAAATGAGCCAAAATAAACTTCAAGCTGCAGTCATCTTTGCCTCTGATTTGCTTTGGGTATTTCTTTTTTAAGCACAGAATAACCAATAAGAACTAACTACAAGTTTATACATTTTGATGATAGACAAAGGAAAATGGGAGATACATGAAACAAGACTAAAATAAATAAACAAAAAAATGGTATAAATATTTAGGAACAGACACTCTTTTTTTAAGATTTTAATTATTTATTTGAGAGGTAGAGGTACAGACAGTGAGACGGAGAGACAGAGAGAAAGGTCTTCATTCTACTGGTTCACTCCCCAGATGGCCACCACGGCCAGAGTTGCACCCATCAGAAGCCAGGAGCCAGGTGCTTCCTCCTGGTCTCTCATGCGGGTGCAGGGGCCCAAGGACTTGGGCCATCCTCCACTGCTTTCCCAGGCCACAGCAGAGAGCTAGATTGGAAGAGGAGCAGCCAGGACTAGAACCGGCACCCATATGGATGCCAGCGCTGCAGGAGGAGGATTAACCTACTGCACCACAGCGCCAGCCTGCAGACACTCCTTTATTTAGACCAGAAATCAATGTTTTACTTTTATAAAAAGTATCAATGTAAAATAATTATTCATATTTATACGCAACAGTGTGATATTTCAACATAGGCATACAACATGTACTGATCGAATCTGAAAATCATCATTCTCATTTCCTTGACACTTCTTTATGTCTGGAGGTTTTGAGTTCCCTCTCTTAGTTCTTCACAATATATAGAAGGTACTGTTATTCTGTTAATGTGATCTGTGATTACCACACTGTGCTGTAGACTACTAAAACATAATCCTTCTATGTGTCATTCAACCTCTTGTGTCTCCCTTTCCTCATCTTGGTTTCTAGCTCTATAAATCACTATTTTAAGTTCAGATAGCCCAATTTTAGCTTTCAAATATGAATGAGAATGTATAGTACTTGTCTGTGCCTTGTTTATTTCACTTATATATGTCTTTCAGTTATTTCCTTTTTGCTGCAAATTGACAAGATTCCGTACTCCTCTATACCTGGATAATAGCCCATTTTAAATACAGAACATTATTCATTACTCTATTGAAAGACATAAAAAAACTGTAATACTCCACTGAAAATCTGTTAAAACTGATAAATTCAGTGAAATCACAGAATGCACAATCATTATACAAAAACAATAGTAGTTTTTTACAGCAATAATGAACTTACTGATACAATAAATCAATAAACTCTTATTCACTATAGCTACAAAAAAATAAAATAGGAATAAATTTAACCTGTGAGGTTGAAGATCTCTAAAATTCAAATCCTAAGACATTGATGAAAGAAATTATAGAGGATCCAAATAAAATGGAAAGATATTCATGGTCATGGATTGGAAGAGTTATTATTACAATGACCATAGTCCCCAAAGCAATGTACAGGTTCAATGCAATCCCCTTTCAAGTACTAATGACACTCTTTACAGAAATAGACAATCAATCCTAAAATTCGTATGGAGCCACAAAAGATCCAGGAGAGTCAAAGTGATCCTGAGGTGGTTGAAATTGCTAGAACTATTACAATGTGTGTCTTTGTCTACCTTTAAAACATATTACAAAGCTGCAGTAACCAAACAACATGGTACTGGCACAAAAACAGGAACCCAGAGCAATGAAAAAAAAAAAACAAACAAACAGAGAATCCGGAAATAAATCCTGATGCACACTGCCTGCAAAATGATTTTTACAAATATGCCAAGAACATAACATGGAGAAAGTATAATCTTTCCAATAAATCATGCTGGTAAAACTCTTTTTAAAATTTTTTGTTGCTATATATGCATGCATTTTATGTAGGAAAAATGGCATTAGGTTCCTACATCTTACCATATGCAAAAAAATGAGCTTGTCAAAGACCTAAACATAAGACCTGAAGCTACAAAATTATACAAGAAAGGGAAAGTGTAAGCAAAAATAGTTTTTGGAAAAGACTGCAAAAGCACAAAAATTAAAATTAAAAATAGTGAAATAGATTGTATATCAATGTAAGAAGTTTCTGGATAGAAAAGGACACAAAGGTCAGCATTTACTGTCAGTCATATAGTTCTTGATAATGTGGGAAGCAAATGACTTAAAGTTTCCTATTTTTAAAGTAGTGTAAAAAGGCCTGGATTTGTTTGATTTTGCTCCTGAAATTTATGAAGCCCAAGCCATTCTTGGGATTTTATTTATAGCCATACTGGGAAAAATATCAAACATTTCATGTAAGTCATTATTTTTTCATCATATATTACATCCCTACCTCTTCTACTGCATATGAATTATAAGTCTCAGGGCTTGAATTTTGGGGGTTGTGTTCCTTGCATGTTCATGGCTGTCCTATCCATCCCTATACAAAGAATTTATCCTTCAAAAAATATACCTCTTCCAGGCACACAGTGATTGGATTTTTTATTGCTCTACTCCATAAGGATATCTATCATGGGAGCTGTTTATTCACTCCCACAAACTGAAAATCATCTTGTAGCTTTCTTTCTGGTTTATGTAAGTCACCCAGGGGAAGGACAGGCATTGCTGTTCACCAGGTCAATAGGTCCATTGGCAATTTGTTTAAATTTTTCTGATAAATTACTTTTCAAAAAGCAGCTGCTGAATTGATATGAAAATGACTTTTCCTCATTTGTTTATTTCGAGATTGCACACATCATTTCCCACTTTGAAATTGCAAACTTAAACTGTAGAGTTTGAAAAAACTACTACTCAATCAAATTTTGGTTAAATGAACAGCACCCAGTATGACCTTCCATTCTGAGTATGTGATATAAATCCCATGAAATTGCTTTTAGAATCTATGTCTTTGCTGATGGTATGAGTGTCTCTATTGGAATTGTTAGCTATGTTTACTCAACAGGATTCTGTTTCTCTAATTTCAGCATGTGGCAAATTGATGAAAATCACAGGCCCAATTACAGTCAAGACATCTGGAACCCGATTTGGTGCTTGGATGACAGATCCTTTAGCATCTGAGAAAAATAACAGAGTATGTTGTTTCCACAAATGCCTTTTCTTAGAACTATGCTTTATTTACACCTTTTCCCTGTTGGACTATTCATTTTTCAGGGCTGTTAGTTTCAACTTAAAAAGTATTACATCATTTACAAGTATTTGCCATTTGATAATATTAATATATCTAAATATATTTTATGAACCTATTTTAGTACAACATTCTCTATTGTAATTCACTAGTATACTGATTCTAATTTCTTAATTTTCATCTTATTTTATGTTTAAAAATGATGGATTATAAGCATACCAATTTTTCAGTATATTCTTTCTAGACTCCTCTATTAATGTGAATGACAATAGCACTAAATATGTGAAAAATTCAAAACCAAGCCAATTCATTAAATAAGCTAAAATATCTATGGAGTCTAAGGACAATTTTAAAGAAACAATAACAAAACTTTTGGGAACTTTTGACAATAAGTTGACATTGTCTACATTATGTGAAGTAATATGCTAAAATTTACCATAGCTCAACATATGTTCTATTATGCAACTCATTATCCAAATTAAGTTTTTTCAAGAGCTCCATCCAAACTAGTTGTTAAACTAGTAAAATAGCTTCATTAAAAGGTATTTGTCAGTTCCTCACACATGACAAATGCTCAATAAGTGGTCATTCCTTCAGTTCTCTTTTAGGCTGGTGTCCTTTCTGCATTTGTTTTTTTCTTAATGATATGGTGATAATTTTCCTTGTGCCCAAATTTTAGACTATATTTTTAAAGATGGATTATATAAATATCACTTATATAAAAATGTTCATCAGATTCATAAAAAAGATATTTGTAACTATAATCTGGTTCAATGAACAAATGTTATTTGAAGGTTCTGTGGTACCCAACGAGGGAAGATACGTTATATATGTAAAACTATACCAACCATTTTTTTTACAGAGCAAAGTTTGCAATAAACATAATTTTCTGAAGGTTAAATATATTTCTGTGATTTATAAGGTGACATAATCTGTATTGATAAATGTTTGGCTTGTTCAGTGGTCAAAAATCTAAAAATTAAGGAAAAACAAAAGTAACCTCAAGTCAATAAAATCCATGTTTCTTTTCCGCATAAACTAAACCAATATTTTTATAACTTTAGAGTTTTCATGTTATCACAGGCAGCAGGTCAAAAGTAAGATAATGTGGTTTCAGGAGCCTGAGAATTGTGAAATGTCTATTTGGGAATTCTTTGAAAAGTACAGAATTTAGTCACCCCATTTCTTTCTTTTTTTTTTTTTTTTCCTTCTTAGGTCTGGTACATGGACAGTTATACTAACAATAAGATTGTCCGTGAATACAAATCAATTGCAGACTTTGTCAGTGGGGCTGAATCAAGGACATACAATCTCCCTTTCAAGTGGGCAGGAACTAACCATGTTGTCTACAACGGTTCACTCTATTTTAACAAGTATCAGAGTAATATCATCATCAAATACAGCTTTGATCTGGGGAGAGTGCTTGCCCAACGAAGCCTAGAGTATGCTGGTTTTCACAACGTTTACCCCTACACCTGGGGTGGATTCTCTGACATCGATCTAATGGCTGATGAAATCGGGCTGTGGGCCATATATGCAACCAACCAGAATGCAGGCAATATTGTCATCAGCCAGCTTAACCAAGATACGTTGGAGGTGATGAAGAGCTGGAACACCGGCTACCCCAAGAGAAGTGCAGGGGAATCTTTCATGATCTGTGGGACACTGTATGTCACCAACTCCCACTTAACTGGAGCCAAGGTTTACTATTCCTATTCCACCAAAACTTCCACTTATGAGTACACAGATATTCCCTTCCATAACCAATACTTTCACATATCCATGCTTGACTACAATGCAAGAGATAGAGCTCTTTATGCCTGGAACAATGGTCACCAGGTCCTATTCAATGTCACTCTTTTCCATATCATTAAGACTGAGGATGACACATAGACAAACGTGACTTCTTTTCACTGATATAAACAGTGTCATTCGTGATAAACTCTATAGGACCCCTTCTATTGTTCTTTACTGTAACTTTGCATCATTTCTCCAAAGCAGAACATTTTATTGTAAAGTTGGTGTTAAAAAAAATAGCTGACCTATGTTAATCTGTTGGAAACACATCTTAACTCCTAAATTTACAAGGCCTATCATGTCTTGTCATGAAAAGCACTAAAAAGAGTTTAAGTGGCTAAAGTCATAGTTTTGCAAATGATTGATGATCTGCCTTATATTAGAGTCAGAGACTAATGGTGGCTTAAATGCATGAATGTCTTTTTTTTTAAAAAAACTCTGTCATTTTTTACTGTCTTTTGCTCCACACCAAGAAATATTTTGGTAGGAAATAGGATTTTAAAAAAAAGCACTTCCCCCTCCATTTATTTCTAAAAAAAAATCAAGGATTTAATTTATATGGAAAAATAGTATTAATCAATTTGCTGTTAACACAATTCTCTGATGAGGTGCTGTACAGTCATTTTTAAATCTCTTGCTAGCATTTTATTGGCAATATGTATTTCTACCATTGTAATCACCATCGTACAATTGTATCTATTCACTTCTGTGAACGCAAGTACTATTTTTTATAAAATGCACTGAAATTTATCCTCAGTAGTTATTTAAATGTTCAAGTGTAGGCAAGAAGGATTTTCATGGCTCACCCCTTTTCATAAGTATTATAAACTAAACAGAAAGTCAAATTAGGTATCTTCCATTGAGTCTTCATTTTACTCCATTTGCAGATCCACTGAAAATGAAGGTAAAAATCTGTTTCACTATTGCTAAGTTAACTCTATTTACTCCACTGAAAGGAACTCATAAAAATGCTTGCAGAAGTTATACCCAAGTCATAAAAATTGGATTTGGATTGACTCTAGCTATTTATTATACATCAAACACATTTTATTCTATACAATGAAATACACTGGTAAATAACATATTTACACACAATTTGCCATGGAGCACTAGGCTAATCCTCCGCCTGTGGCGCCAGCACCCCAGGTTCTAGTCCCAGTCAGGGCGCTGGATTCTGTCCCGGTTGCTCATCTTCCAGTCCAGCTCTCTGCTGTGGCCTGGGAAGGCAGTGGGCCCTGCACCTGCATGGGAGACCAGGAGGAAGCACCTGGCTCCTGGCTTCGGATCGGCGCAGTGCGCCAGCCACAGCGGCCATTTGGGGGGTGAACCAACAGAAGGAAGACCTTTCTGTCTCTCTCTCTCTTTCTCACTGCCTAACTCTGCCTGTCCAAAAAAAAAAAAAAAAAAAAAAAAAGCCTATGAAGCACATATGAAAACTTTTAATTATTTTATCTGTTAAATCCTCTAAATTTAGATGAATATCACTGGAAAGTTATTGGCAGTGTTTTCGTAAAAGAAAATGATGGAAGATATTTGGGAGTTGTCTGTGCAGTTTCAAATGTATAAATAACCAATTCAGAAAATAAATGAGAAGGCAACATCTTGATACACTGATTCACTATATGTACAGAAACAATATAGCCAACAAAAAGAAACTTAAATAATATTTTTATCTTAATAATCTTTCAAAGTATACAATTAATATATATATATATGAAAAACAAAACATGTTATTAAGTTTGGATATATTTTCCATGTATTAAAAATACTTCCCTAAGGCAGCTTTATGGAAACTATTATGGGTTAGTTTAACATTTAAAAGTCTATTCTATAATAAATATATTACTTACATTATTGTAAATCTTTGGTTTTACACATACTGAATACCACAATTTTCTCTGAGAAATGAGTATATGTTAATTCACATAAGGTATTGGATAAAAATGCTGATATTTAAGAGTATTTCATTTCAAGTGAAACATCACTTTAATGTATGTCACTGCCAAAATTATAGGATTAAATAACCCATTCTTGAAACTATTCACAAAGATTTAACTAATATTTCTTTCCTTTTTTTACCTACAAAAAGGTAGCATGATTGAATGACCACTCTGGATCCTTTAGCAATGTTCTTCTCTTTTAAAAAGTTTATGCAAGTTCTCCTTCAGTATGGGAGTTGGAAAATTTAGGAGGTTCATTTATTGTTGTACACACATATAAAAATAATCAGTCAAATCTTTGTGTTCCAAGAGTTTGTATGAGGCAAGAAAGTCACATATGAGTTTCAGAAATGAATGAAAATTCAAGCAGATGGCCTCTAATAGATATCTCTCCATTACTTGTCTTTTAAAAGTGATGTTATATGGTATCATACACATTCAAAATCCGGTGGATCACAGCTTATGTGCGAAGTATGCAGCTTTTGAGTACTTTATCGTTTTCTATGTAAGCTTTCATCGCCATATCCAATTTATAGTATTTGTGCTACTAAAATAAGAGCAGAATTTATTAGTGTCACTGGAAGTGGGGTTAACATGAGTTTAAAAATGTGATTTGCATTAAATATTTACAAATTAAAAGCATTTTCTTAATGAATTATTATAGGTTTTGTGCCTGAAATAAACAAGAACTTACTCTAATCACTGTTGTTTTTAAATCTCTGAAACTAAAATAAATTTTATCAAATAATGTGTATTTCTAAATCATCCATATAATTCAAGCAGTAAATATGTTGAATCTCAGAAACTTGTAATCCTAAGTAAACTGTGTAACTGATATTTTCTGAATTAATTAATTAATCTGATCATTAGCAAACTTTCATGTCATTCAATAATAATATGTTCGTGGTCTGATTGTGTTGTGTGTGTTATTTGTATTTGTGGAATAAGGATCAGAAATGTTATTCATTGCATCTAAACTTGTATGTATGAGTATGGAAAATGGTAGTGTTTCAGTGCATTACCACTGTGTAGAGCTAAAAAGAGAATATAATGCAATTGAATTCCTTTCATTGAATTATGAGCGATTAGTTTTGATCTTCCATAAACCCCAAATATTTGATTCTTATGATCACACTCAGAGTCATTTAAACTTTATCAATAGTACCATTTGTTCTGCTGAAATATTGGCTTCAAAAAATAATGTTAACTACTTATCAATCCTTACTCTAATATCAAACACAGCTCCATATCTATTAAAGAACTACCAAACTTACAAGTACAAATTTTTCTGGAAGAAAATTATTTTAGAATGTATATAAATTGTATGGAATGTATGTAAAATTTAGAATGTATATAAAATTGTGATTATATTCATTAAAAATAGTTATTCCTCTACTAGTATAAGTTTTACATATAATAATCCTTTAGCATTATTCCTCATAAAGAATAGATAGCTTAATTTTTTAAAAACCTTGTCTTCTTGACACTCAGTATTAATAGCACTGTTTGTTCAAATGTTAATTTGAATGCAATTGGTATAAAATTGAAAGTGTTGCTTCAAGTTAAAGTAAACATGAAAAAATATCATTGAAGTATCTACACAAAATACCTTTTCAAAATAAGATAATTATTAAAACAAAAAAATCAGCATCTTACTGATTTGATTGAGTAGCTATGATTATATCCTTTATCACATATACAAATTGAGTTTCCTTAATTTGATCAAAGTGTGGACAATTAGAAGCAATGTACTTCATCCTCTCCGTCACTGCATAAGTGGACCAAGGACAGAGCTACTATAATGTGGTCTCCTAAGTATTAGTACCACAGGCAGGGGACATGAATTAAAATTTGATTGCTATAGGATAACACAAAGTCTTACTCACTGATTGTTTATAGCTAGAAATGGAAATTTCTAGAAAGGCTCAGAGTCACTGAATATTACTCAGTTCAATGGACTATATATGGAATTATTTCTGATTCTAAAAGCTAACTAAACTCAGCATAAAAATGTTAGGGATTTGTCATGATCAGTCCCTTCAGAGAAGGTCTGGAGCTTAATAAAATATTTTTTAATTGTTGAACTTATACTTGGAAAAAATACAATGAAAACATGCTTATGAAAGAAAGACCAACTTCATTGATATTTTCATTACTTTTCTAAGAACTGATGAGTTCAATCATCAAAATCTATTTAATAGTGAATAGAACACTATTCACTATATGATTTACCCAATGAAAAAATAATCTTCTCCAAACTGTCTTTATCAAGCAGATATATTTGACTCCTATCTTGAAATTATATTATGTGGTTTATCTCTTTTAGGTTGATTTGTTCCATCAGGCTTAGAGGGATTTTAATCCTGTTTGGATTCTGCCTTGTCTACAAAATGTCAAACTGGTTAGCATAAAGCTTATCCCCTTTGAAGCTCAGTTCCTCAAATGTCAAATTAAGTTTTAAAAATATAGATTATTATTAAACATGACTTGAATATAAAATAAGAGCATAAAGTTGTACCTTATCAAGAGTATATAGTAACTTTCATAACTATGGCCACCTTAGAATATTATTCCTAGTTAGAGATGTAAAGCAATTTGGTAGATATGAAAGAGTTCTCAGAAACATCTACGGGCTAAAAGAGTTTTCTGATTAATTACACACATACAATCATATATACATATATGCGGTTCAGTTCTAGATTGCACCCATAGCAAATCCAAGAAGAGCCTCAATATGTTTTTTTTTTTGTAATGACTAAATATTGCTTGTATATGTCATTCCCTAACAGAATTCAGACTTGGAAACAATGTGTATCAGTAGATATTTCTGGAAAATAAACATTATATGACAAAATCCTTGAAAATGGAACAAGAATTGAGCTGAATGAAGAAAATACTGGTCACTTTCAGTTTCAGCATGTCATAGAAGTTTCTCAAACTGCAATAATACAGTTGCTACAGTAACATTTCAGCCAGTTGTTTGTCTACATCATTCTTGAGATTACATGAATTCCTATAGATTCCCAATTTGTAGTCTACAGACTTTGCTTCTAAGCAATTCTGAATCATTTGTTTTGAAAAATCATTAAGTAAAACCATGTACCAACTTATGGTCTATATGCTAGGAATATAGCTGTCAACAGATTAAGTCATTATGTGCTTTCATTGTTGTGAAAGCAGAATGAAACAACACCAAAAATTAGTGAAAAGGAAGTTCTCATTGTATGAATTGCTATGAAAGACATTTTAAGAATCTATAATGAGTGACTCGGTGTTTGCCAGGGGCAGGATAGAGTAGGGAATGATATTTAGAGAGCCCAGTTGAAGTACAAAATGATATTTAGAGAACCTGCTGCTCCTCCGCACGCGGAGGAGCCGCACTAGACCGGACGCTTGATGTTCCCCTTTTTTACAAGTCCTTTCTATAGTAAAGTAAGAATAAGTAAACAGCAAACTCCCAAAGCAAGAATGAGTAGAGAGAAATGAGAAAGAACGAAGCAACGAACTTCCCCGCGAACTCTCCAACGCACTCTCCAACCAACCCACACCACCATGCCGTCTCTCTCCTCCTATATAGTCCTCTCCACCAATCCGTGCTCTGCTACCCACACGCCGAGCGCGCTGCTCTCCTCCAATCAGGAGCGGCTCCTGCAGCTTGTCAAGTTGGTGAGAGGCAGCTGGGTAGAAGCTGTTTGCTCCTCTCCCAGCGCCATATTGTGGGAGAGCAGATGCATAGAATAAGTCTTAATTCCAGTAACAGTCTAGTCCGAGTTGCTCCCCACAGAACCCAGTTGAAGGAGGTATCCCGGCGAAGCAGGGAGGCCCCTCCCCTGAAAGAATAGAATGCCAGCGTCCGATCCTCGTGAAAAATTTGACATCATCCTCCTGGTTACCTGAGCAAAGTATTCCTAATCTTTCCCTGTGTCAGAATCTTTGTTTGTTTTTTGGTCTGTATCTTAAAGTTCAAGAATGCACTTCCGGACTTGACTGGGATCTCATGAAAACACATACTTCACTTGATGTGTGGTTGTATAACTTTTCTATTAGAGGATTTACAGTTTTTATCAGATTCTCCATGAAATCTATGACCCAGCAGACCACCACTATGTCAATTCAATCTAATTCAATAAAAATGTATTAAATATTATTAGAGCAAGCACTGAACATCTATCAACATCCTTGCAACCCTTGAGATTTTTAGCTTACTTAGGAAAAGAGAAAATCAATACCATAGTATTATCAGTAAGTTTTTCTTTAGGAACACTCAAGGTTAAGTTGTCTCCTGTAAATGCTCTGAAGAGTTGTGATAGATAGATAGATATAGATAGATAGATAGACAGACAGACAGTTCATTTTCTGTGATCCACTGGTTCAGACGCATTCATGCCCAATTTACTGACCCAAGATTCTCTATCATAATAAGCCTGTCTCACATCTATTTGAATCTGGAGAACATTCACTTAAAATTCTAATGCAGTCATTTGGCAGCACCATTAGACTCTGGCTGGAATTGAGCAGATGCAGTGTGCTCCATCAAATCTAAGTGCAAACTCTTCTGAAATTAGCCACTGAAACAAAACATAAACAGCAAAAAATAAAGTTTTATCACTTTCCTCGATTTGGAACTGCATGTAGTTGATAATGTATAAAATCTACAGTGCAGGAAAATTTTAAAATACTTTTTATTAAAAACAGAACTCCAGTCACATTTATACAAAGTCGTGATGAGTAGAGAATTGAGGCTGCTTCTCTCACCGATGTTTACTTTGAGTTTTTCTTCCCCCCAAAATTTAGAAACATGTATCCATTAGCTCTGACTGTAGTGTAAAACAAAAATAATAAAAATAAACATTTTTGCTGTTCCTCTACCATTAAACTCCTTTAGAAACTGCTGTACTCTTGGAATATGAAGTATACATTGAAAATCAACACTCTCATATTAATATATTTTTAAAAAAGACAAAATCTAACATGAAAATCAATGTTTGTTCCATGTATTTTTCATCAATATCATATTTCAACTTGTTTAGTTCATCCACTGTTTTTGGATCTAACTTAACCAACTCTCTAATTTGTGCCCTGGATCTGGTGCCCCCATTTGGACATTCTTCTTTTGAGTACTGACCTCTGATTCCCCAGCTGTAAAAATCAGTTTTACTTTTTGCCTTACCTAAGGACCACTTCCATTAGCTATGGCTCCATAAAATGCCTCAGTACCAACAAAGTCCTTATTTTTCATGTCAAGTGAAGGGGGATTACATTAATCATCCTTCATAATTCACTTTCAAGATTGACCTCTCACTCTCATTCATTAAATTTCTATGCATCTTTAAAAATTCACTTATAATGTTGTCTTATTTCTGATGCACATTTATAGGCATTGTTTTGTGTTCCTATTGTTGCTTGTGTGTTATTAAAATTTTCACATCACATTGCTTTTATTTATTCCCTTCAAGTTATTGTGAACCCATCGGGAGTGGGGTCAATGAGTTATTTTCCTCATGCTCTGTTCCTGGCATGATATCTGACACAGAAAAACACCATAGTAAATGATGATAAGCAAATTGCTAAAACTGAATGGACAAGTAATCCCCTTGCCATATGGAAAAATTCTATAATCTTTGTTCCCTTTTGGCAATATCATGAAAAAATTAACTTTTCCTAATTTATTTTGTTGGAAATAAATTTCTATGTTTAAGTAAGGTAAGAGAATAAGTATAGGAAATGGCAAAGTGATAAAATTAGGTTTAATTTCATCTCTTGAATGAGTAACTAACACTTCTACACAGAAAAAAATTTTCCAGGTCAAAGTTTATTAAAAAGGTTGCCATAGTTATTTGCATTATTTCTCTCTTTGGTATCTGTTTTAAGATTCATTTATATATTTGATAGTCGAGTTACAGAAAGAGGGAGAGACAGAGACAGAGAGAGAGGCCTTCCTTCCATCCATTCTCCAAGTGGCCACAATGGCCAGGGAAGAGCCAGGCCTAAGCAAGAAGCCAAGAGCTTTTTCTGGGTCTCCCATGTAGGTGGCAGGGACCCAAGAACTTTTACCATCTTCCACTGCTTTTTCCAGGCCATTAGCAGGAAGCTAGACCAGAAGTATGGCAGTGGGGATATGAACTGTCAGGATCTCCCCCTCCAGGAACTGGCCAGGTTGCCGTGAAGGAAGAGTCGAGGAGACTGAGAAAGGTCAAGCTAAACACACTTTATTGGTACTCTAGGTGACTAGGAGGAGAGATCGCTCAAGCCTACTCCTGCGGGCAGTAGACACTACGGACCAGGAGCTTCTCCCCATGGGCACTAGGCACTACGGACCAGGGAGAGAGGCTGAGCAAACTCTGGTTTACAGTGGCTGAGGGTCCCCTTATATACAGTTTCTAGAGGCTAGCCCCGCCCACATTCTGACCTCACAGGGTCCCGTAGTCATGGCAATGACAGTTTGTGGTTTGTGGTTAGGCCATCTAGTTAGGCCATCCCTTTTCAAATGTTACCAGTTAGAGTGGCTACTTTTCTACTTTTCTTTCAAGCTGCTACTGCGCAGTTACTTTCTTTCAAACGGAGCTACAGTTATTTTCTTTCAAACGGCGCTACAGTTACTTTCTCCATGAATGGTTTCCTAACATGAACCAGCACCCACATGGGGTGACAGTGTTGCAGGCAGCAGCTTTACCCACTATGACACGATGCCAACTCTTGTACCTACTTTAAAAGGAAAAATTATTTCAACTTTTCACCCACTCAACATTTGTTTCCCTATTTTGCCTTTTTCCCCAGTAAGTAAAGACTTTCCTTACAAATGAAGATCATCTTTAGAAAAAAGACAAGATTTTAACAGATAAACATGTGCTACCAGGCCAGGATAAAGTGGAAGAACCAAGGCTCTTCTCTAGTGTTTTACCCCTTCCTTACCATCATGGAGAAGGGCTCTCTGGTGAAGTGTTCCCAGGCATTTTTGACCAGATGTTTCTCTTACACAATCAAAACACTCTCCTAATGAATAGATGTCAACTTTCTTTAATACTGAAGAAGTCGACAAGCAAAATGCCTTGAGAATCCTGAAAAACTCTTAACGTGATCTTCACTTTTCACTGGTATGCTTTTGCTTGGACTGGGCCACTTCTACCTAGTAGTGACCATTGCTCAAATTGTGTTTTGTCTTCAGGATCATATTGATAAAATCATACACCATTTCCTGGTATGATTTTTTTAATAAATCATTCAGGATACTGATCCTACTTATTGGAAATTTCCATCGAAAGCTCTGCCTTTGTCTGCAGCTGACCTGGGTGCAACAGTTTCGTCATGTGAACAATAGCCAACAATAGCATGAGCAATAGCCAAAACCATAGAGATCTCAACTGGCTCATGTCTCACAATTTTGTTTGAAATTGAAGTAAAAGAGAGAGAGAATCTTTCATCTTAGGCAGGACTTGATCCCAGCAATTATATAAGAATACAGGCATCCAGAGCATTGGCTTAACCCACTGTGCCACAATGCCTACTCCTGGCATGTCTTTCTTATCTGCTTTCTTCTTGCTTTTGTTTCAAAGATCAGCCTATATTTTTCTGCTTCTAGGAAGATTTGCAATTACTACTTAGTTGTCTTATTTACACATACCCCCTTTTTCCTGCCATATTATCTTGTACTTAATTCCATCACACCATTTTTTACTATAAATAAAAATCCATTTCCTTGTTCCCTTCCCACTCTAGACTCTAAGCCTCCTGGAATCAAAAATTATGTCTATATTGAGAGAGTATTCCCTGATGAACTGTAGGTTCTATATATTGCTAACTTCACCAGCCAAATCATTATGATTTATCAATGATACCACTATCCTTCTGGACATATTTAACTCTTTGTTAATCTTCATTTTATATGTCCAAGGTCTCATTGAAATATAAAAATATTTATGTTCCATCTTATTGACACTCCAGTTTCAGAACTGTTATAAGTTCTCTTTGTCTTCTACTTACAAAACATACTGCAAAACACTACTGGCAAGTATCTCTACCTCTGGTCTCTACATAAAATCTAGCCTGAATTCTTCTTTCAAGTTCATCTTGATATAACATTATGAAATAAATCTGCCTATTAAAAAACTATACCCTTTTTTTCATTATTCTGATTTTAAGTTGCTCTGATAGAATCCACCTAACATTTACAAGTTTATTTTCCATTATTTCCTGACATACTTCCTGTAGTCCAGTCAACAATTCATTTTCTGTTCCACAAATGGGTAAAAAGGCCTTCTTCCCTCTAAGCTACCCACATTCTGAATGTCCTCTTTTCTTATTATCAAAATCTTTTCTTATGCATCTTGGTCCAGTGTAAAGCCTTGTTATTCCTGAAAATTCCATACAGAGCATCCATATTAAAGAGAAAATGAGTATAGTAGTAAGTCAAATTTTCAAGGAAATGATGTGATTTTTTATTTTGTTGGATAATACAGTGATTTTGATTAAATGACTTTCAGGGAAGTATTAGTTCACATGTTTATAAAACAAGGAGACACAAAACCTTGTTCTTGACCCTCTCCAGTTAATTACTTTCCCAAATGTATGTGAACTGTTTTGGTAGACCAATCTCTGTCAGTTACTGACTAATGATGCAGTAAAATCTTTCCAATAAGATCCAGCGTTTCATCACATGTACTTGCGTTGGGTATGTTACTCTGGAGGAATGATACAACTTCTAGAGAACCCAAGAAAGAGAGGAGAAGTCCCCTCTAAAGAATCTGCAAAGAAAATTGGAGTTACCATACAAACAAGGTCAGACTGTACTGAAATTCTTCCTGGGGACAGTAACTTAAAAGACATTCTTTAGTTGGTGTTGAAACATCTTATGTCCTGTAAAAGTTTCTTGAAACCTTGATATTCCAGTTTCACCAGAACAAAAGGGATGTCCAAAACCATTTTAGAACAGTATGAGGAATGAAAAAAAGGAAAGAAAGAAAACAGGAAGTGTAAGATAAGAAAAGCCTTCTTTAAATATTAACATAAGTTTATGTTATAAACAACTTGACTCTGAGAGAGACAGTGCATCCCTTCAATTGGAAAATTTTTATGGTGGGGGCTTGCACCATGGCTTACTTGGTTAATCCTCCTCCTGTGGTGCTGGCATCACATATGGGCGCCAGGTTCTAGTCCCAGTTGCTCCTCTTCCTGTCCAGCTCTCTGCTGTGGCCTGGGAAGGCAGTGGACGATGGCCCAAGTGCTTGGGTCCCTGCACCTGCATGGGAGACCAGTATGAAGTACCTGGCTCCTGGCTTTGGATCGGCACAGTGCCAGCCATGGCGGCCATTTGGGGAGTAAACCAACGGAAGGAGGACCTTTCTCTCTGTCTCTCTCTCTCACTGTCTATAACTCTACCTGTCAAATAAATAAAAAAAATGATGTATGCCTAAAATATTTATTAAAATATTTATTAAAAAATTTCAGGTGCATAAAATGTTTATTTAAATATTTATTAAAAAAATTTCAGGTACAGAAACTAATTAAAGGTGGATTTAGAGAATGCCTTTATGAATGTTGCAGTCCCTAGTACTTGACCAAGTACCTAAGAGAAGAACAACCCACTAACAACCAATGGGAACACCTCTATATCCCACTGTGTGCATTCAGTTTTTTTTACCTCAAACTGTCACGTTGTTAAATGCCTCTTGATCACACTCAGTCCTATACTCAATTTACAATCTGCTTATTTTCTCTTATTTTTATACAGAGCCATCATGTAGAGACCATCATGGCAGAGAGCATGTTGAGTTACACAGGTTATACAGGGCCTCACACATGTTGTGTTGCGGGATCTACATTACTGCCCGGAATAAAGCAGTTTCCCAATAATTAACTGAGAGAGGAAAGAAAGAAGGAAGGAGGGAAGGGGAGGCAAGGAGGGAAACGAAATGGAAGGGTGGAAAGGTGAGACACAAGGAAGAAGGAAGATAGGCTAGAGGGAGGGAGGGAAATGGGGGAGGGAAGAAGGAAGACTGGGAAAAAATGAAAAAATTATCTCAAAGTCCAAACTCCACATTTTATAACAATATTTGATGTTTAATTGTTCTTTTCTTCATTAACTTTTGAATTGTTTTGAACTTTTATGCTTACATTCCTAATTGAATTGAACAGTTGCTGGCTTAAACAAAGTGAGCATGTATCAGGTTAAACGAGTCAGCAATAACACAAGACAAATGCTTCAGTTACTTTTACCTGTTAAACATTAACAGTGAGACAAGATGCTTTTCATTAGTCTCCCTTCAACTGCTGTTACAACTAATAATACCAATGATAACAGTGCTGAACTAGCAATGGAAAGAAGACTAATTTTGTCCACACCTCTGTGGTCAGCTTAATTTTTCTAAATCAGAAAGCAGAGATGAGTATTTTAGAATGTGAAATTACGTTTTTGGGGACTATTCTCTTAATTG